TTATGTTGTATATCTGGAACTAATATACAGTAATTTGTCAATTATACCTCAAAAACTATCTTACATAATAACAGTTATCAAATTCAGTAAATATAATATTGATAAAAATATTTTATGCAATCTATAGTCCACATTCCAATATCATCAGTTATCCTAATAAAGTAATTTATAGAGATTTTTTTGCATTTAGTTGTGTTTCTTAGTCTGTTATCATCTAGAACAGTGATGGCGAACCTTTTGAGCTCGGCATGTCAGCATTTTGAAAAACCCTAACTTAACTCTGGTGCCGTGTCACATATAGAAATTTTTTGATATTTGCAACCATAGTAAAACAAAGACTTATATTTTTATATCTATTTTATATATTTAAATGCCATTTAACAAAGAAAAATCAACCAAAAAAATGAGTTTGCGTGTCACCTCTGACACTCGTGTCATAGGTTCACCATCACTTATCTAGAACATTTCCTTAGCCTTTCTTTGTCTCTCATGACATAAACATTTTTGAGGAATACTGATCAACCTCATTCTTTTTCACTGCCATAATTATATACATTGCTAAATTCTCATCATAAATATCATAAATTGCCTATCGTTGATTTAAGCAGGAAAGACATTTATTTTAAAAAATTTAATTTACAGTTGACATGCAATATATTAGTTTCAGTTGTACAACATAATAATTAGGCATTTAGATATCTTAGAAGTGATCAGCCCAATAAGTCTAGTAGTCACCTGATAACATACACAGTTACAATATTATTGACTATATTACCTATGCTGTACTTTACATTCCCATGATAGGAATTTGTTGACAAGGTATTGGGGAAGTCCTAGAACTTTGATATATCTCAATAGATATATTTTATTTTGCATGTATATATCAAACAATATTGTTTACAAGCAAAAATAATAAATAATATTTATTAGGCACTTTGTAATGTGCTAGACCCTGTCCCTATTACAAGTGTTATCTAAAACATAGTCCAATGAAGTAAATACTCCTAAATCCCATTTTAAAAATGAGACAACTGTGAATTAGGGAGATTAAGTGGATTGCCCAAGGTTACACAACTGATAAGGGGTTGAGAGTACAAAGTCAAGTTTTGTCTGACATTAAAGTCCATCCTTTTTCTATTTGATACATACACTGAGTGGACAGATTATGACCACCCCATCAGTACTTCATTGACACTTCCAAAAATTCTGAATATTGAGAACTTCCTAAGCAAATACTCTCAAGGTTTTATTATTATTATTATTATTATTATTATTATTATTTTCATAACTAATTCAATTCATTGTACTGATGGGATATCATAATAATCTGGCCGGTCATAATAATTTGGTCACTCAGTGTATGGTAGGGTAATTTGAAAACTTTATTAATATTTGATAGAAAATAAATGATCTGTGGTAACCCAAAACATTAAATATTCTTTCAGTTGATATTATATAAGAGGTGCATGCTGAAAAATGCATACACCTCTTATATAATAGCTTTTTTGCATTCTTATAAACACTTCACAGGCTAATGCTAGAGGAGCTGGCCAGAAAATCCTCAGCGTGCACATCAACATGTACCCACTTGGGGGCACCCACAATGCAGCTATTTTGCCTGTTCTCCTGCCAGAAGCTTCAAGTCCTGCAGAGCTGGAGTTGAGCCAGCTGATGTATTCAGTGAGTTCTACAGAACTCAGCCAGATCTGATGTCTCAAGGAATAACTTCCTATATCTTTAAGTTTGGGAATATCTTACTTAGCATGTTGCCCACACAAAAAACCACTATGTGCTATTTAAAACATTATTAATTAGTGCATTTGCTAGAGGCCAAATGTCCTAGTTACATTATTAGGATTTAATGACCAGGAACTAAAAATAATTTGCTGATTAAAAAGCATACATTTGTCCACAGGACTTTTTGGATTTAAACTATGCTAAAATTAGGAACATAATGAGTAAGCAGCAGGGGTAAAAAATGTTCCACAAAATCAAGCTAAGTGTTTTAAGTTGATCCTGCGTGTTTTCATACCAGAGGCATGCCCTCTGACATTGGTATATATATATTCCCTAGAGCACAGAAAACAGTTGCTGGTGTCATCAGTGGAATAGTCATTTGGTCTTTAGTATCATCAGAAAGTAGAGATTCTCCTGAAATACACTGATGTCAAAGATGTCATTGACGCAGATGTAGCTGCTGCGACTCTTCCTAGAAAGGGTTATTATTCTAGACTCTCTAGAGCAGCGGTTCTCAACCTGTGGGTCGCGACCCCTTTGGTGGTCGAACGACCCTTTCACAGGGGTCATCTGAGACCATCCTGCATATCAGATATTTACATTACGATTCATAACAGTAGCAACATTACAGTTATGAAGTAGCAACGAAAATAATTTTATGGTTGGGTCACAACATGAGGAACTGTATTTAAAGGGCCAGAAGGTTGAGAACCACTGCTCTAGAGCATAAGGAGTGATGATATTAAAAACTAGGTTGGACAGGACATGGCTATCACAGTGTATTTTACACCTACCACCTCTGCTAAAGAGGTAGATGAAGGCAGCCATGTTTTATACCTAATAAATCCACCTTTCACATGGCTGATTGCAGCAAATTGAGCCAAAATATAGATTGGAGAGCAGCTTATGGGGTCACCTGGAAAAAAAGCTCTACTCAGACTGATTGCTCAGTCATGGGTACCTGATTTGGGAAACAGAATATGAGGTGGGTGACAGTGGGGATTGATATGAAAGGATGTATAGAAGGGGTATAATGTAGAAAAGAGGTCAAGTTCAAAGCTAGGTTACAAGGAAGCTAAACTGTGAAGAAGGTAAGACAATAATTGAGCAGAAACTATGAGAAGGAGAAAAGATAAAGTAGAGCCCTGACCGGTTTGGCTCAGTGGATAGAGCATCAGCCTGCAGACTGAAGGGTCCCAGGTTCGATTCCAGTCAAGGGCATGTACCTTGGTTGCGGGCACATCCCCAGTAGGGGGTGTGCTGGCGGCAGCTGATTGATGTATCTCTCTCATCTATGTTTCTAACTCTCTATCCCTCTCCCTTCCTCTCTGTAAAAATCAATAAAATATATTAAAAAAAAAGAAAAGATAAAGTAGAGGGACTATTCTTTGTTGCAAGAAGTATCAAGGAGACATGTGAGGCCCTAGATGGTTTGGCTCAGTGGATAGAGCATCGGCCTGCAGACTGAAGGGTTCCGGGTTTGATTCTGGTCAAGGCACATGCCTGGGTTGTGGGCTCGATCCCCAATAGGGAGCATGAAGGAGGCAGCCGATCGATGATTCTCTTTCATCATTGCTGTTTCTATCTCTCTCCCTCTTCCTTCCTCTCTGAAATCAATAAAAAAAATAAAAAAAGACAAAGACAAGTAAGGAGAAGCATAGACAAGGAGAAACTGAGCCTTGTTTGGATTTAAACTGAGGAGATTTGAGAGAAGAGTCACCCTCTTGCTCCAGAGAGTTATTGGGTACAGTTCCAGTTTTTGCTCCAGTCTGCTCCCTGTTCTTTAATTGATATGAGATCCTGAGTCTTACAATAAACAGCTTCACTTGTGGAAACTTGAGTAAATATATTTCCACTTCCAACCAAAGAAACTAGAATAGGAGTCTTTTTAAAAGTCTCTCCAGCCTGGCTGGTGTGGTTCAGTGTTTGAGCCATCACCCCATGAACCTAGAGGTCACCAGTTCGATTCCCAGTCAGGGCAGTTTATCAATGTTTCTATCTCTGAATCCCTCTCCCATCCTCTCTCTCTCTCAAATCAATAAAAACATATTTTTAAAAAGTCTCTCCAGAGTGTTTAAAAAAATCTGCACATAACATAAAGTTTGCCACTGTAACTATTTTTAAGTATACAGTATAGGGGCATAAAGTACATTTACACTGTTGTACCACTATCACCACTATTTGTTTGCAGAACTTTATCATCATCCCAAACTCTGTACCCATTAAACACTAACTCCCCATTGTCCACTCTCTGCAGCCCTGGGCAACCAGTCTTTAGTATTCTGTCTCTTTGAATGGATAATATTGGCATTAAATAGTTAATATATTATTTATAGAGCAAACTCATAAGTGACAAAGCCACTGCCCAGAGTTTTGGGGGAGCTGGAGTTATCCCAAGTAGCCTGGAAAGTGTAGACTATTTATTGTGTTCAGTCAATCAACTGCAGATGGAATGCAAACCAGACAGGAAACCAAACTTGACTGGGAGGCCCCAAGGGAGTCTGAGATGTTGAGCTATGGTCTTTTGCCATGTTCTAGAAAAAGGGTTGCTATGTTCAGAGGAATGCTTCCTTGTTGTATAAAGTAAAATAACCCTATCTGTGGGGAAAGACTAAAATCTGAGAAGATAGGAAGCCAAAGAAATTGTGGGTTAAGATCTGCCATCTTCATTTGGCTAGCAGAAGTATTATTGCACTGATTCCTGAAGCTGGTACTTTTGAAACACCTTTCTAAGAGGCTCAAAGTGTCGTAGAATGCAGATTTTGCCAGTGGTTATCTTGGACCCTAAATTGTGGCTTTATGAGGCAAGGGTTTGGGAGACTGACCTGGCCAGTTTCCAAGGAAGCTGGATGAAGTCCAAACGAAATCCAAATTAAGGTATCAGATAAGGTGAGCCGGGATCCTGCTGCAAGATTCTCTGAACGGCAGCTATGCTGGTGATACCAAGTGGTGATATCATTTTGGCTCAGAAGAAAACAAGATCCCAGATAGCATGTGGGGATCAGGGACATGGTCCAGATCCTGGGAAAAAATTGTTTTTCCCCCCAGTATGTCATTTTTATAATTGCATCAGATACACAGTGAGTATCTTTCAGGGAATTTCACCAAAACCAAAGAGAAGTTCAAAGATAAAACTGCAGCAGATCAGGGAAAACAGGTAGAACTGTGCGGTCACAGGACTAGCCTGCAAGCTGTCCTTAGTCTGGGGCACCTGAACAACCCCACAAGTCCACGGCCAAGGGCTAGGAGGGCCAAGGCTGCTCCTATCTCCCCTCCAGGGGTCTAAGCTGTAACTCGCGCTCTAACTGCTCTGCAGTCAGGGTGCCCTGGATGGCTTCGCAGCCCGGGTTGAACACAGAGTAGGCGCTTTCTCTCCCTCCTTCTTCTCCCCGGGACCTCGTGTCCCGACATACATCCAGTAGAACAAGGACAGGACAAAATAAGCCAGGCCAAATTCCAGTTCCACAAACAGTCCCAGCAGGATCAACCAGAGAAGAACCTTCAAGAAGGTGATTGATAAATTTGCAGCCAAGCAAACACATTCAAGGCAGGGCTGGACCATTATATAAACCAGAACTGGTATCAAAAGCCCGCTCCTACCCCGTGCCATGGACATCTGGGCCCACTCATCATCACCCATCCAGGTCCCCCAACTAGTGAGGATGGTGGCTTCTAGCCACCCCCACCCATTTACCTGCCCTAGAGTGCTCTGTGTATAGGGATGAATTCAAGTTGTCTTTTTCACTGGATGTTTATTTAGCAAGATTTGACCTGTTTGCAAGTCTGTGGAGCAGCCCTACAGTCTCCCAACTATAATAATCTGTAGAGTGTCGCTTTGTGGGGTTACCGTGTGCCCTGAGATTTTCTGTATGGAACCACTGTCCTCCAGCCCTAGCTGCGGGGCCATGAGCTGGGCCTGCCAGGCCCAGAGCCGTGTCCAATAAAATTCTCGGATGTGAAAAAACAAAAGCCCACTCCTGCCTAGCTAGTGTGGCTCAATTGGTTGAGCACTGTCCCATGCACCAGGAGGTTGCTGGTTTAATACCAGTCAGGGCACATGCCTGGGTTGCAGGCTCAACCCCCAGGAGAGGGCATGCAGGAGGCAGCCTATTGATGTTTCTCTCTCATTGATGTTTCTATCTCTCTCTCCCCCTCTCCCTTTCTCTTTCTGAAATCAATAAAAAACATATTTTTAAAAAGCCTACTCCTACCAACTAAATTTCTATGTAATTCATATAAAAGGCTGCTGTTCATCTCTCTCAGGCAAGATTAATGAAAGGAGAGAGAAGCAGCACCTAAACAGAGCCATGTTTAGTTCTCTTTAGCACACCAACAGGTGGGACTGACTGAAAGGTTGAACATGTTATAACTGTCTACTTCTGGGCTCAAGCATGCAAAGACAGGGAGTGTGACAACCAGATCTTGCTGTAGAATCTGGAGAAGTGCCACGGCTTTATTGACCAATCCCCTCTTTTAGGTTATTGCATGTAAGGCTAAGTGGGCATCGTCCTGAGAACATGTAACTTCCCTACTTTAGAGACCAGCATCCAAACTTTGGACATGGAACTGATGTGTTTGATCAGGGAATTCATGCTGAAAGCTCACCTGGGAGATGGTGTTGTGGCACTGACCACTGGAATTCCATGTTATTCTACATACTTTGTCCATTTGTGTTATGGACAAATAAGGAGGACAAATCCTCCTTCAATGGATCGTATTAACCCAGCTGTGAGGAGTGTTGTCAGCAGTCAGCCTTCAGTCGCCAGCCACTTCAGGAATTACCTATCCAAGGAGAATGGCCTTGCCCAAGGTCATACTACTTTCAGGGCAGCCCATGTCCAATGACTGATCAACGGGGTGTATATAAAGACACTGACATCTAATCTAACTTGAGACAACACTGAAGGGCCATTCTAGCTCCAGCAGTTTCCACAGAGTCAGCTGAGGTAGCTTGATTTCTCCCTCTGGACAATTTTGCTTCTATCACTGCTATGATCTGAATATTTGGTCTCCCCCAAAATCACATGTTAAAATCCTAAGGTGATGGGTGTTAACTGGTGGGGTTTCAGGAGGTGGCTAGGTCATGAGGGTGGAGCCCTCTTGAGTGGGATTAGTGATTTATAAGAGACCCCTTCCACCATGTGAGGACACAGCAAGGAGGTCCTCACCTGAAAATGTGACCATGCTGGTGCCTTGACCTTGGACTTCTAGTCCAGAACTGTAGGAAATAAATTTCTTTTGTTTATAAGCTATCCAGTTGGCGGTGTTTTGTTACAGCAGCCCAGACAAAGATAATCTCTTTCCTTCCACAGGTGTTTACCTCCAGGGTATTCCTTTATAAACACCCTTCCATGGGGCTCAGTTTATAGTTTGGTGCTCATTCTTAGTTTCTGTTCTCAAGTCCTTATCTGGTGACCTCTCTTACGTCCCAGTCATCACACTGGGGCCTGGTCCTCTTCTGACTTTGATCTCAATGTGAGTGCCATTGCCATTTTAGTTTCCATTTATTTGAAGAAATATAACAACACTGGATAAATACCAGTAACATTCCTTAGCTGTGGACAGTCAGACATGTTTTCAAACATTTCCAAACACTTCTGAGCTTGTTGGGTCACCCTAAATGAAACCACCAGGTCAGCATGCCTTCCTAGGGCTCAGGAACTCTGCACTGAACCCAGTTTGCAGCCTCACCATTTCCCTAGATTTTGTTGTGCCCTATTCTGTTCACACGTTAGAATGGTTCAATAGTTACTCCTTCAATAGATTCGTATGTCAGAGCTAGGTCCTAGAGGGCTTGTTAAACCTCAGAGTGCTGGGTCCCACCCCCAGAGTTTCTGATTCACTAGGTCTGGGGTGGAACCTGAAAATGTGCATTTCTAGCAATAGCCCAAATGGTGCCAGTGCTGCTAATCCAGGTAACCACTAATTTGGAGAATTTTTTACATATTCATTAATGCCATTTGAAGACAGGTAAGTCATACGTTTATCTCCTGGGCAGCATAAGTGGATGCAGCCCCTTGGAAAGGAATCTAACCACAGTTGTGAGCTCCCCGCACACACAGGCTCTTTGGCAGGGTTACATTCCTGCCCATCTGTTAGGCTGGCAGTATGCCCATGGAGAATGTGCTATGCCAATTGCAGCAGGCCATAGGTGCTATCCAAACATGGTTGTAGAGGGGCAGCTTTCCTCACAGCAAACACCATTTCTTGGGCCAGGCAATCCTGCTGTTTGCAAACAGCTTCAGTATGAGGCCACATGCTTCCTTGCATCTGTAGATGCTTGAGAACATGATTAAAAAATAAATAATCAACAAATGGCTGATTATTTTCCCTTGATCTGCCTTGGCGTTGTAATTTGGCATGTGGAGAAACACTCTCTTTGGTGAGCTGGAAGCCATTCCTAATGACTTTACCTATGAAATGCTTTAAAACTGAGATTTGGATCAGCTGTACTTATTCACTTGTAGATGTCATTATCATTTTTTCTTGCTTTCTTCATATTTATTTACTTAAATTAAAAAAATTTCAAAATTTATTTTTCTTTATGTTTTAAAATTTTTTAATTTAGGTTTTCACTCTGTTTCTGAGCTAGGTTCCCTTCCCACCCCTTGTAATTTTTATCTGCAGTTTTCTGAAGTCTCTGGTTTGACTTCTAAAATACAGAGGAGTCCTATTTATAAATTTAGACTGGGATTAGGGGAGTTTCTGCTATAGAATTCCAATCACATTGGAATTATAAGTCAATTACATTGATTATGAATCAAAGTATATATGTTATTTTATTTGTCCCATAATCAAACCTGGGCTATGAGGAGAGCTTTGAACATTTTCCATTAAAACCTTCGTTTTTGGACAAAAACCTTTCGATCTCTTTAAGATAAAAATATAAAAAGTAAAACAAAAAAAGAACCATTGATTTATAAGAAAAAACTGTTGATTTACAAGATCTGAAAAAATGTTATTTTCTTTTAAGAAAGCATATTGATTATGCTGGGATTGTACAAGGGAACCTAGGCCTAAAAGAATGGATGGACAAGAAAAAAATAAGAAGAGACAGCCCTCTGCCTTTTTATAGTTGGATTTTACTTTGGGTTAAATGGTCCAATAAGCACATGAAAAGATGCTAAACATCATTAGCTATTAGCGAAATGTGAATCAAAGCCACAATGGAATACCACTTGTGGGTTGAATTGTGCTCCCTCAAAAAGATATATTGAAGTCTTACCTCTAGTACCTGTGAATATGACTTTACTTGGAAATATAGTATTTGTAACAAGATGTAGTCAAGTCAAGATGGTGTGTCCTAATCCAATATGATCGGAGAAGAAACAGAGATACAGGGGAGAACTCCCTGTGATGACAGAGCCAGAGATTGAAGCGATGCATCTATAAGCCAAGGAATGCTAAGGATTACTGGTAACATAAGAAACTAAGAGAAAGTATAAAACAGTGCTTCACTTAGAGCCTTTACAGAGAGCATGACCTTGCTTACACTTTGATTTCAGATTTCCAGCCCCCAGAATTGTAAAAGAATCAATTTCTGTTGTTTTAAGTCACCCAGTTTGTGGTCATTTGTTACAGCAGTCCTAGAAAGCTAACAAACAACATCCCACTAGGATGGCTATGATAAAAAGTAGACAATATCAATTTTTGTGGAATTGCTGGTGGACATGTAAAATGGTACAGCCACTTATAATATGAAATGTCCAGAATAGGCAAGTCTGTGGAGGGAGAAAGTAAATTGGATTAGTGGTTGCTTAGGGCTGGAGGTGGGGAATGGGAAGTGACTGCTAATGGGAGTGGTATTTCATTTGGGTGCTGATGAAATGTTCTAAAATTAGACAGTGATGATGGTTGTACAACTTTGTGACTATACTAAAAACCACTGAAGTGTACCTTTTAAATGGGTGAATTTTATGATATGTGAATTATATCCCAATAAAGCCACCAAGAAAGAGTCCATTCTTCTGGGGGTGCTTTCCACTTTAACCATGCTGAGCTAACTCACTTTGCTGTTTCCCACTTCTGAGGTCTTACACATTCTGTGCTTAGAATGTTCTTCCCAGTTTTGTCTACTGGTAAATCCCTCTTCTTCAAAACCCAGCTTACACATTCTCTCTTCTGTGACGCTTCTGTTCTCCCAGGAAAGTAAGCACTTTCTGTTTTGCACTTTTTTTTTAAATTGAGATATAATTGACATATAACATTATATTAGTTTCAGGTATACAACATAATCATTCAATATTTGAATATTTGTATATGTTACATAATGATCACCACAATATGTCTAGTTAACATAAATCACCACAGCTACAAATTTATTTTTCTTGTGATGAGAACTTTTAAGATCTATTCTCTTAGTAATTTCAAATATACAGTACAGTACTATTAACTATAGTCACCATGTTGTGCATTACATTTCCCAGGACTTTCTTATTTTATAACTGGAAGTTTGGATGTTTTGACCCCCCTTCACCCATTTCGCCCACCCCTAACCTCTGCCTCTGAAAACCGCCAGTCTATTCTTTATATGTGAATTATTTTTTCTAGATTCCTAATATAAGTGAGATCATATGGTATTTGTCTGACTTATTTCACTTAGCATAATACCCTCAGGTGTTGCCTCTTGATTTGGTATTT